CTTTTTTTAAAATAACATTACTGCATAGTTCTCAATGTCACTTCTCTTCCCTAGAAAAAATAAAAATGAACTCATCTTTTCATACTCGTTGAATACTTTGAAACAAAGTAATAATCATTCAAAACAAACCTCATTACCAAGTATTTAGTAACTGAACTGTCTTTGTTACAGTAGGATAAACAGCCTTTAGAATTGGAGGGAGGACCATGGGAGGTATTTTCTACTCTGTAACCTTGGTAGTAGTTACACTGTCCATTTTATGATTATCTGTTAGACAATACATAGGTATTGTGCATTTTTAAATTTTTTACAACAAAGAATAGTATTATCAAAAAATTCCTTTATAGAAACTTCTCTAAGTAAACTGAATAAAGACCTCACTTAAATTTATTCACTCCATGCTCTAAAGATTTTAAGGAGAAAGAACAAAAACCAAAAATTAATGAAAAACCTCAACTGCTCTCATTTACATAAATCAAGAAAAGTCTTGATGTGGCAAGACAGATTTATAACATTCCAGGAAAGTATTAAAAACTAAGATAATTTAATATTGCTAATTTACTCTCTTTAAAGATAATAATACACAAAATGGAAAATGCACAAATTTACCTCCTTCTTACCTGGCTTATTTTTTTCTAGGATTTTTTTTTTTTTTTAAAGATTTATTTATTTGTGCATGGGGTATAGGCCAAAGGCTCAGGGGCAGCGAGAGGCTTCACCAGAGACAGAGCGGGAAGCAGAATAGGCAGATCTACAAAGTACACTGCTGAGGGGAGCAGCGGGCGGGTCAGGAGAGGTCTGCCACGCCATGTGGTCACCTCCGGGGCAGGCGGGGATCGAACTCTTGTGGAAGTGGCTTTAGCTTCTCAGTGCTGTGCTTTAACCCGCTGCACCACCAAGGAGGGCCTTTTTTAAGGATTTTTAAGTGTCTAAAGAAATGGCACTTTCATCATATTCTTTAATTTTGGAACTGTAGTACTTTCTATTCTTTCCCAAATATATCACTGTGCCCTTATTATATCAAGTCATCTCCACTGGTGAGCACAACCTATAACCTGAATGACTTTACTCTGTGGTTAGAAGTTATGCTACTGAACAATTGCTATTACACCTACCCTGCTCAATCTGCTGAGAGCACAGTCTTAGAATATTAATACTATTGCCCAAGACCATTTCACACGTTCTCCAAAGAGACTGCTGTTAGAACCATTTCTCTAGAAGCTGGTGGTTAATGAACACTTTACTTCTAACTGGAGAGAGAGCAGTTATTTCCTGGTAATATATCTTTAATCAACATGATTTTTTCCAAGTACAAGTTTATCCTGTATAAACTTGCCACAGAAATAAACAGGACTTTTGTTCTTATCTCTTAGATTAGAAATGGAAACTCTATGAGGGGACAATATCCTATTTACTTGATCTAGTTCTAAACTAATACAGTGTTTTTTTCAGAGTTATAAGTTTTGTATAAAAAACACCATAACCAGGGCCCTCCCTGGTGGCACAGCGGGTTAAAGCACTGCACCAAGAAGCTTAAGCCACTTCCCCCTGAGTTCAATTCCGGCCTGCCCTGGAGGAGATCCACAGGGCGTGGCAGACCTCTCCTGACCCGCCCGCTGCTCCCCTCAGCAGTGTACTTTGTAGATCTGCCTGTTCTGCTCCCCACTCTGTCTCTGGTGAATCCTCTCACCCTCTGCATCTCTGGCCTGTACCCCAGTTCTGTATGAATAAATAAATCTTTGAAGAAAAAAAAAAACCACCATAACCAAATATGCTTATTCCTTTCCTGTTTTGAAAACACAGAAGAATGATTCAATTGTCAGTTTCTCTTTCAAAGTGCTTCTAAGGGTAAGAAATTCGTATTTTAACTAGAAATAACCAGATATTACTCTATTCAGTAACAACAACTCTCAAAAGAGCTGTACAAAAGAGAAATGTGACTGCTACCTACAAAAAACATTAGAAAAATTTTCTGTTCTTATTAAGGCACCCAGACCACATAATGTTACACCAAGCCAGAGGACAAATTCTCTTCATGGAGTAGAATAGCAATTGGCTTTTTACTCATTAAATTCTTACAGCAATGAGCAATGACTTGCTTTCTCATTTTGTTTCTCTTGAATAGTAGATGAAGTTGATTTTTTTCCAAGGCTGCTTCCCATCACCAGTATTCCTGATCCTTGACCTATGCAGATATTAATATGCTGTTCACATATGTTTGGACTCCTTAACAACCAGAGTCAACCTTTCTGTATACTCCAAGTCAGTTCTTCCCTTATTAACAAAATTGATTTTTTTCTTTCTAAACATATTAATTTTTCTGCTTAAAAAAGCTACACATATATAATCCGTTGGTTTTCTGAAACTTTCTTCCCTAAGAATTTTAGGGGCCATGGAGTCTCATATTCTATTTGAGAAAGATATATTCCTTTGTGGTAATTCCAAAAAGTAGGTTACTATAGCTACCTTTCATGTGTTAGGGGAGGGGGGAGAGGAATTGCTGGAGGCGGTATTTTACTTTCATTCTTAAAAAGTTAATTCCTTTGAACACAGATGAAGAATTATATTTATATTTTCTAGAGTTAATGATTAAAAGCAAAATACTGGAACTATATCAAAGGTAATTTGTTGTAACTGTTCAAAGGCACTTCTCCATACTCAAACTCACTCCCATCATTTTATACTGTAAAATGCCTATTAGCCATTTGTACCCTAAAAGATAAGAAGCTTATGGAAGGTAGAATTAAGTCACTGCGGACACGTGGTCTAGCAGGTGGTATACAGTCTATAAGTATTTCATTGGTGTTAATTTTATATTCAATTCAAATGTCTAATTTTTCATTAGTCACAATTTTAGTTAGACTGACTCATGCACACACTGCCCAAGCATTTGTGAAGTGAGTTTTTTTTTATCTTTTTTTTTTAATTTATTGATTTATTCGTACAGAACTGGGGTACAGGCCAGAGATGTGGAGGGTGAGAGGATTCACCAGAGACAGAGTGGGGTACAGAACAGGCAGATCGACGAAGTACACTGCTGAGGGGAGCAGCGGGCGGGCGGGTCAGGAGAGGTCTGCCTCGCCATGTGGATCTCCTGGGGCAGGGGCAGGTGGGGATCGAACTCATAGGGAAGTAGCTTAAGCTTCTTTGTGCTGTGCTTTAACCTGCTGCGCCACCAGGGAGGGCCCTGTGAAGTGTGTTTTAATCAAACATTATAGTTCAAAAAGATATGCCCAATTTCTGACATTTAATGATCTGTACCTAAACAGTGAGCATCTTTATGGGAGGCAACAGAAACAATGCTCATTTATGAGTTTTGAAACTTTTTGTTCTGATTTAGCCTCTTCTACTAACTAGTGGTTTTATTTGGCCAAGTCACTTTAACCACATTGGATCTTGTGTCCTAAAATATTAAAGTGGAAAAATGGATTAAGTGAATTGTCTTGAAGTATCTAGCTGGGACCAGCCTTAAAATTCTAGCTAGGCATGAATCTGTAAGAGTATTACTGAAAAGCAAGCCCTGTCAACACTAGAGGGAGCCACGTGCATGTCATCACTTGGGACCGTTAGGAAGATTTCAAAGCACAGCATCTTTAATGGAAAACTTAATTTCCAGGATCAGAGAAATTAAGTACAAGTGAGAGGTCCATATTGTTCAAACAGCCACCCCATTGTTTCTCTCTAATCGATATCAAAGCACCTCACACATGACTTGCTGCAGCATATCTGTTGGGCTTTAATTCTAATTCTAGAAGAACCAAGTTGGCCGGAGTCATTTCTACAGATTTCTTTCCCGATTCAATCTACTATCTTTCATAATCAAACTGACAACAACAAAATACAAAATAATCAATACTATTACTGGGAAATCCCTAAGGAAATGAGAGAGAGGAGAAAAAGCCATATCACATTGAAACTGTGATGCAGGAAGATCAGTAAACTGCAACTGAATTCATTAGAAGGCCTGCCATCTAATCCTAAGCCACCACAGCTATTTGGAAAGAATAAAACTACACAAAAAGAGGGACAATATTGAGGAAAGGGAAGATTCAACATATTTCCAAAATGGGGAATAGGAATGCCTACAGAAGCAAATGGCTATCATAACCCTCTTGGCTTCTATTCACATTAAGAATATGGCAAGAAAACTGTGAAGTGACAAGATAAGGGTAGGGAAGGAAATGAAAAAGCTTTTCTGAAGCCGAAGTTTATTTAGAAGTTATTTTATATATGTATAAAATATTTTACTTTATATTTATATAAATATAAAATACACACACATACACACTCTCTCTGTCCCAAATCCAAAAAACATAAATGGCCTTGAAAATGGATGTTAAACTGTTATAGATCAGTGACCTAAACTGTTACAGATCAGTGAAATGAAGAATTAAAAAAAAAAACTTTCCAATGATACCAACTTAATGTTTCTTTTTGCCCAGAGGCACAAAGGCAAATTAACAAGATAGCAGGGCATAAACCAAGGATATAACAGAATGTGCTATGTGGAAAAAAGATAAATTCAATCCTGGAGAGCCTCTTGTATTTAAATTTCACTTAACACATAGAAAGCAAATTCTCAGCTCTTTGAAATGGACTACCTACCTTTTAGGACATAGCCTGTTCCTGAGTAAAAATAGATTATAAAGCAACTTTGAAGAGTGACTTTGTAGATGAAGAGAAAAATCTACTACAACAAGAAAAACAATTCTTTTTCACCAAAAAATGAAACTCAGGTCTCCAAAGTTAAAACTCACCAGGTTAAATCAACTGATACCTATCTCTTGTACTTTAGAGATATCACACAGTTTTAACAGAGTCATGAAGATTTCTCTTTTCTTTTAGAGTATTAAAGAAAAAGTTTATCTAAACAGCTTTTTCAACTTTTATAGGAAACATAAGGAAAATATTCTTTATTGCTAAAAGGAGAACAACTTGTTTTCTTCCCTTATTGAGGACACATACCAAAGGACTTCCAATTCATTCTGCTTCATACTGACCTTTAAAATGTTTCGGCCATCAAATGATTCTCTTTCCTTGAAGATATATTTGCCATCTGCTGTATAAAGATTGTATCTGCCTTCAGCTGTAAATATTCCAAAGATAATGTCAGAAGAGAAGTTGGGTTATTTATCTGTTTGTTTTATCTTAGATGTCTATAGGTCAACTACCAAAATTTTCATGGACATGGAAAGTGTGGGGAAAACATCAGGCTGTGAGTCAAGAGATCCAGGGGCTAGTCTCAATTTTGTCATCAACTCATTCAATAAACATTAGTCATTCAACATTGTCCAAATACCCACTGCACAGGAACAATATAAATGGCTATATTGTTAAGCAATATATTATGTCTCCTCTGTGGACCTTAGTTCCTCATTTACAAAATTAGAGGTTAAGGTTAGGTGATCTCCAAAGGCTGCTTATAATCTAAAACCCCAAGACTTTCTATATGAACTACATGCATTTTTAAATAAGTAAAAGTACAAATAAGTTCACACATAAACTAGTCAAAAAATGCTGACAATCATGCTTTTGGTTAATTTAAGGATACCCTCCAAATGAGAAAGATCCCTTTCGTTGCAAATTCAGTTTAGTTTGTATACTTACAAATATTCTACATTAAAATGCAGCAAATCTGTAACTTTAACTTCCTCACAACTGCACTCAAGGGCCTCCCTGGTGGCACAAGTGGCTAAAGCACAGCATTAGGAAGCTATCTGCAGCCACTGCAGCACAAGTTCAATCCCCAGCCAGGGAGGTGACCCACATGGCACAGCAGACTTCTCCAGTCTCACCTGTTGCTCCCCTCAGCAGTGTATTTCAACCTGCCTGCTCTGCTCCCCACTTTTGTCTCTAGTGAATCCTCTCACCCTACCCACCACCACCACCACCTCTGGACTGTATCCTAGTTCTTGTATGCATAAATAAACCTTTTTTTTTAATTGCACTCTAATCCCTTGAGTTAATTTAGCTTGCTTATTCCAAAACAAGAAGAAGGATATGTATAAGGAGAAAGAGAAAGCAAACATTTTATTCCACATCCTTTTAAAGATTCAAAGCATCTCAAGAATTATTTAACTCAAAATATTTTCTGAAACATCGACCACATGAAGTGGTACAGCCACTTTGGAAAACAGCCAGAAAGGACAGTTCCTCGCAAAGTTAAACACAGTTAATACATGACTCACTCTTAAGTATATACCCAAAAGAAATGAAAACATGTCCACATAAAATCTTGTATATAAATGCTTACAGCACTGGCATTATACATAGCAATCAAAAAACTGAATTGAAAAAACACAAATAAATATATCCAAATATTATTCAGCAATAAAAGGGATGAAGTATGACATGTGCTTATATAACATGAGTAAACCTTGTAAACATTCTACTAAGTGAAAGAAGAAAATCATTTTGTGCATGATTCTATTTACATGAAAATTCAGAAAAGGCAAATTCATCTGACAGAAAATAGAGTAATGGTGCCTAAGACTAAAGAGTTAAAGGAAAATGAAAAAAATCACTGCCAATTGTATATGATTTCTTTTTGGGGTGCTGAAAATGTTCCAAAATTGATTGTAGGAACTATATGATCCAGCAATTCCATTCCTAGTCATATACCCAAACAATACAAAAATACCTATTTAGGCCCTCCCTAGTGGCACAGCAGGTTGGAATGCTGCACTATGCAGCTAAGCCAAGCTGTGGCTGCTTCATTGTGAGTTCAATCCCTGCCCAGGAGGTGATCCACATGGACAGCAGACGTCCTGTCTCGCCCTCTGCTTCCCTCAGCAGTGTACTTTGTCGACCTGCCTTTTCTGCTCCCCACTATTTCTGGTGAATCCTCTCCTGCCCCTGCACCTCTGGCCAGTATGCCATTTCTGCATGTATAAATAAAATCTTCTAAATAAATAGACAGACAGACAGATGGATAGATAAAACAAAAACACCTGTTTAAAAGGAAATACATACTCCTACGTTCACTGTAGCATTATTTACAACAGTCAAACTGTGGAAACTCCTAAGTGCTCCAAAACATATGACTGATCAGGAAGATGTGGTTTATATATACAATGGACTACTACTGAGCTATTAAAAAAGATAAACCTTTGTCATTTGTGACAACATGGATGGAACTGGAGGAGATTAAGCTATGAAGTCAGTCAGAAGATGTCATGTGGAATATAGAAAAAAAAAAAAACAAAGCTTCAGATAAAGTCAAACTAATAACAAACCCTAGAAATCTGACAATAGGCTGAGGCTACCAGCCAATTGGTGGGGGGTGGGGTTAGGAGGGAGGAGAGAGAACAAAGTGGATAGGAGCACAATAGACAATGGGTGCTTGGTGTGACTAGTAACAATTGGTGGGGAGATCGGTAACCCTCTAAAGTACAAACAATGCTAGAAGCCACTGTTACTTCAATAAAAAAGTAAACTGATTGTGGTAACAGCTATATAATTCAAATCATTAAATTTTATACTTTAAATGAGCGAGTCATACAACACACAAATTATATCTCAATATATAAAGATGTTACTCTTTTTTTTTTAGATTTATTTATGTATTCATACAGAACTGGGGTACATGCCAGAGGCTCAGGGGCGGCGAGAGGCTTCACCAGAGACAGAGCGGAGAGCAGAACAGGCAGATCTACAAAGTACACTGCTGAGGGGAGCAGTGGGCGGGTCAAGAGAGGTCTGCCACGCCATGTGGATCTCATCGGGGCAGGCGGGAATTGAACTCATGCGGAAGTGGCTTAAGCTTCTTAGTGCAGTGCTTTAACCTGCGGGCCACCAGGGAGGGCCTAAAGATGTTACATTTTAAATATCTGTAAGTAGGAAAGGATAATAATAGAGTGTGAACTCTCAAAATTTTATGTGAAGCTCTAGGGTTAAGTGAATAGAAATCAAGATGCACAAAATTTAGAAGCTACTGATTCCTAAGCAATTCAATTTTGTTAAGAGATTAGTTAATTATCGAGCATAGTTGTGAGTGCATTAAACTAAGATTTATGAACTAGAAAACAGAGAATGTACCACTAATAGCATTAACTGTATGATAAAATACTTCCTATACCTGAAAAACTAGTAGCACTAGTCACATGGTTAAATTAAAAGTTCTTCTTCTCAATCTCACTGACTACCTTCAAGTGTTCAAAAACCACATATAGACAGCAGCTATTATAGTGAACATCAAACACACAGATTATTTCTATCATCACAGAAAACTCTAATGGATAATGCTGTATACAATGTATTTTTTGAACCAGTGAATCCAGAATGTACTCAGAGTTCTGAAACTACCTCTATATAATGATGTGCATCACCCCACTGATCTAACTTGGTTTCCAAAATTAAAATTGTCCAAAACAAAATAAATGAAAAACCCTCCTTAAAATGCTCCCACTGAACAAACTACATTATAACATGTAAATATCAAGTATCCCAATATTCTGCTACACTACTATTCACAAAAAAAGAAATATATTCCATCAGCTCTGGATACTATTAACTACTCACCAAAGACTCTATAGGCTTTCATTGGGTCATTTGAATCTTTTTTGATCTCAGTGTTCCTTTAGGTAAAATGGTTATCTTAAAATAATTTTTAAAGGTGTATATATACGCACACACACATGGAAGTGTTTTTAATTATATGTAAAAGTAATAGAGGGGCCCTCCCTCGTGGAGCAACATGCAATGGGTTAAAGTACAGCACTCTGAACTATCAGCAGCCAATGCAGCATGAGTTCAATTCCTGGCCAGGGGTGGCAGACCTCTCATGTTTGACCCTCTGCTCCCCTCAGCAATGTGTTTCAGTCAATCCACCTAGTCTGTTCCCCACTGTGTCTCTGGTGAATCCTCTCACCACTTCCGCCCTGTACCTCTAGCCTGTATCCCCGTTCTTGTATGCATAAATAAATAAAATTGTTATTAAAAAATAAAAGTACAGAAAAGCCAAACAAAGGTCAAGACAAACCTTGAAAGCTGACCATAGATATGAGGCATCCATGAGGGAAAAGAGAGAGGGTAGAGAAGGAAAAGTGGGGGAAAGAGCAGAAGGGAATACAGTGATACTACAAGTGCTTTGGTGGTGGAAGAACTACAGTGACCACAACTGAGGGGTGAAATCATATATTGTCCAAAAATTAAATAACAAAAAATTTTAAATAAAACATTTTACTTTTAAAGTCTTAAATAAAATACAATCTAGAATCACTAAACATTAAGTGAACTAAAAATTGGGCAGTTATAGATTTCTTAGTCTGATAATAGCTCTAATAACCAAATAGGGTTAATATCAATGATTTTAAATTGGGATCTTGGTATATATCTGAGACAAGTTAAAAGAGGTAAGTGGACCAAAAAGGACAGATGAAATATCCTAAGTTATAATTATGCAAATAGTTTATGGGCTCAAGTCCTGACGGAGTCCTCTTCTAATCTAGACTTTCTTAGACCAAGGTCAGAGCCCTAACAAAGGAAATAAAACCTGAACAAGGGATTTGGTACTAGCATATTTTAAACAAGTTTTGAAAGAAGCAGCTGCATGTAAATTCAATTTGTGGTTCCTGACTAGATGCTTAATATGCAAGAGAAATTTTCACTTGGGGGTTGAGAATGCAAAGAAAAGAAGAATCTTTTTGAAGATGTAGATCATTATCCCAAATCAAGGGTTAAAACTAAGTATTTATTTCTATGTGAACACTTTGCCAGAGTTCAGGAGGGGAAAAAAATTATTACTTTAAAATGAGGTTTCTCAACCTTGATGCTAATGACATTTTGAGCTAAATATTTCTTTGTTGGGGTGGAGCACTGTGCTGTGCACTGTAAACCAATGAGCAACATCCCTGGTTTTTACACACAAAGTGCTAGCAACATTTTCTACCCCCTTGACTGTGACAACCAAAAATGTCCCCAGGCAATCCCAATATCCTCTAGGAGGCAAACTGTCTCTAGTTGACCTTACTTTCATTAACTGATTTTCTTTTCTTCTTAAAAAAAGAAGAAAAGAAAAGCTATAAAGTATTGTATGGGCCTTACTTACACTACAATAATTATTCACTGTTTGCCTAAAATGTACTTGGGCAGCCTGTATTTCTATTTGTTACATCTGACAGTACTAGTGACTGAAATAAAAGATTTGGAAAGCCAGATCCCAATACTAGATATGTCCCTGTCTTGATCTAAAAAGGAAGATCAGAGATTCTTGGATTGCCAAGGACATCATAAGGGCTTGTTTATCACAAACAATGCTACAGTTCTATGGAGGACTTACCATTGGGATCTTTCCTGAGTAGAGTATTCATGACTGTAGCATGGAGTTTCACACTATTCCACTCTTTCACCATTAATCCAGAAGCCTGAAAACGTTCCAGAACCCGATCAACTAATTCCTGTAGTCTACAGAAATGAAGAACACAGATGTCTTAGTAAACAAAATTTAGAATCTATAAAGACAGACATGGAAACAAATAACTATGTAAAACATCATGGTGAATAGTAAGGGAGTGATCAACTACATGGAGAGGGCAAGGTTTTCACAGGAGGTTTAAACATGATCTTGAAAGAACACAGAAATTCATCTTGAGAATAGGGGTCAGGAAATCAGTCTCAACTGGGAGTTTGCCTAAAAGGAAGAGCTTTTATTTATTGGTTCATCCAGTTACAGAGCCAAATGCTACTATGGTCAATATGTTTCTGTCAAGATCAAATAAAATTTGGTAAATTTACTCAAGAAGAAACATGACGGTGAACACTCCAGTAGCCTTGATCACCATGCCAATGTTTTAATGAGGTGGAGATGCAGCACCAATGAAGACAACCAAAGGAAAATCCAAATCCATATGAATGCCTGGTGGCTCTAAGTACTAAGGGTTCTACAATGGTTGAGTTCTATCTCAAAGATGGCCATTCTTTCTAATAGCTCTACTAGAACCAATTCTAGCCCAAAATTTTTTATTCTATTTGGGTGTTTTGATCATCATATTAACATTTCTTATAAGGATGGTCTTGTGTAATCCCCTTCAGAATTTCTTTCGCTAGAAAACTCTCCTTTAGTTTTGAAGAACATCTTTTGCCAATTGTGATGAGGAGAGGTTGTTGTAATGGCAAATATCTGGTGGAGCAGAGAATGACTGGTCCTAGAACTCAGAAATCAGTCTCATCTGTGACCACCCACTCATCTAATGATAAAGATGGGCCTATTGTTTTTGCATAATACACCAAAAACACCCACCATAGAGCCTGGAAAAGTGCACACTGAATACTGGTGCTAATTTGGTGGTGCATATCAAATGGCAGAGCAGTGCACTTGATGCAAGGAACTGACATCTTTTAACCTTTGCCTTACCCTTTTCTGAATTTGTGCTGCATGCTAATTGACTTCCCTGGCTCAAAATAGTCTTTTATTAGCTACCAGATTTCACATTTTTTAGGTTTTACGTTTTTAATGTCCTTGTGTCAAATACTGCTCCTTCTCCTGTAGGCCAATAATAGTCCTGGGGTATTGACAGAGTTCATGAATCTTCCATTTCTAGGCCAAGATTTTGTGGTAAACACTGTAACTAGTGAGTAGTTTGTCCTTGAGTAGGCCTGTTTTATGTGTAGGTTTGTTTTATTGGTAATACAGGCTCCAAATGGACTGAAGCCTCTGGTACTTTCCCCCCTTGTTTTCACTCACTTAAACATGGGCAAAAATCAGCCTTTTCTGTATATACTGATGCAAGAAGACATTATTCTAAAAATGAATTAGAAGAACAAAAGATTCTCTTCCCTTTCACGCTTTTCACATTCCAAAGTTCCCAATTACTCTTCTTAAAGTTCTTTACTTTGGGTGCCCTCCCTGGTGGTGCAGCAGGTGAAAGCACAGCACTAAGAAGCTAAAGCCACTTCAGCATGAGTTCAATCCCTGCCCGCCCCTGAGGAGATCCACATGGTGCAGCAGACCTCTCCTAGCCCGCCCGCTGCTCCCCTCAACAGTGTACTTCCACGATCTGCCTGTTCTGCTCCCTGCTCTGTCTCTGCTGAAGCCTGTCGCCGCCCCTGCACCTATGGCCTATACCCCAGTTCTGTATGCATAAATAAATCTTAAAAAGAAAAAAGTTCTTTACTTTGTCTTTTTTTAACCAAATACTGTCTATTAACCAAAGAATACTTACAACATGAGTAAGCCATAATTAATAATAATAAAATAAACAGCCACGTCCCTACCATCCACTTTCCAAATAGACTAGGGCAGTGAGGTACATTCCTTGGGCACAACAATTAAGGAGATGCTCCCCCCAAAACAGTAATAGACAAACAATGTCTTAATGTAATATTTTTAGAAGTCAAAATTAATCCCCCCAAATCCATGGGGACATCCATGAATAGATTATCAAATTCTAAGTGAAGATGGGACCTCTATTACTGAGTTTTCCTTTTGTCTAGGCTTTGCATGGTAGAGAACAATATAGCATACTATTCCCTCAGATGCTTCCTGTCATGGAAACTCCAGTGACTCCCTGCTGTCAGCCAGAGCAATATGCTGGGAAAGGCTCATGCTCTTAGCACCCCCCACATGCACATTTTCTTATCAAGCTTCTACTTAGCAGCATGCCAATTGTACCTCAGTGCCTTCTGTTCCCTAGACCCCTCACATCTACCTTGTTTCTCCACTTATATACTTTCAGGACCAATTTAAATCTCACTTTTCCACGAAGCCTTTTGAAACTACCTAGTGTCCCCACTCCCTATATCCAGGAGCCATGATTTTTGTCCTTCTATGACCTGCTGTCCCACTTATGATGTATGTATTCTCAGGGGTGGTCCTTAACATTTCACATTTGTCTGTTCATCCCCTCACTGGATTATATGCTCCTCAGGAACATGTTATATCTGTCCTACCTACCATAATACTGACACTGGCAACTACTGACAGTGAGAGATTAACTCAAAGATTTGATTGATTAAAATGTGAGAAACTAATATAAAAAATAAAATAAAACATGACCTTTAAGGATCACTGAAGATTGATAAAACCAGGGAAGAAAGAACACTTCAAGAAAAAGCAGGACATGTATAAGGTATGTATAATCATACCTTCACTGTAAAAATGTCAAATATTGGGCCCTCCCTGATGGCACAACGGGTTAAAGCACAGCACTCTAAAGCTCTCCACAGCCACTGCAGCATGAGTTCCAGCTCCAGTCAGGGAGCTGATGTACACAGTGTGACAGACCTCTCCTGTCCTGCCCACTACTCCCCTCAACAGTGTATTTCAGTAGATCTGCCTGTTCTGCTCTCTACTCTGTCTCTGATAAAATCTGTCACCCACGCACCTCGGGCCTGTACCCCAGTTCTCATATGCATAAATAAGTCTTTTAAAAAATGTCAAATGTGGGGCCCTCCCTAGTAGCACAGCGGGTTAAAAGCACAGCACTAAGAAGCTAATGCCACTTCAGCATGAGTTAGATTCCCGCCCTAGAGGTGACCCACATGGTACGTGGCAGACCTCTCCTGACCCGCCCACTGCTCCCCTCAGCAGTGTACTTTGTCGATCTGCCAGTTCTGCTCCCCACTCTGTCTCTGGAAAATCCTCTCACCATCCCCTGTACCTCTGGCCTGTACCCCAGTTCTGTATGCATAAATAAATAAATCTTTTTAAAAATGTCAAATATGTAATATAACTGTAACAGTGACAGAAGAGGGCTTGTGAAAATGGATAAATATGTAGTGGTCGGATCATGGGAAGCCACAAAAAATTTTTAAAAAGGAATGACGTGGTTAGATATCCATTCGAAAGCTGACTCTTAAGCAGAGTGGAAATGTTTTAGAAAAGGAAGAGACAGACTAGTGATACAGCTGGTCTATATTACGATACAGCTGGTCTATATTACAGTACAGCTAGAGTAGGACTATAATAGAAATAACGCATAGTGTGAAGGTACTGTTAAACACTTTTTATCTTTAGGTCATTTAATCTTCACAGTAAATTATTACTCCTATTTTACTATTAAGGAACATGAGGCACAGAGAAGTTAGAAAATTTGGGCCAATGTCACAAATCTAGTAAGTGACAGGTGCAAAACTAGAACCCATGCAGTGTGGTTTCAGGTTTTAGAGAATAGCCTGAATAGGGAAAGGATAGAAATCTAAACTATGGCAGGGGCCATTAGAACTAAGACAAGGGCACTTATTCAAAAGAGCTATATGAGAAAGAAGCTCACCCCTCACGTGGTGATATAAGAGAAAGAAGCAGTTGAGAAGACGTCCAAGAGGCTGCCTTAAGTGACCATGCAGGTCACAGACTGAGTATGTGCAGTAACAGAGAAGATACTGCTGTTTTTCATATGTGGCACAGGGTATCATCTAGGAAATGTTAAAGAGAAAGATAAAAATATAAGCCTAAAGCTTGAGAGAAAAATCTGGGCAAAGGACATAGGTTGAGAGTCATCAGTGCAAAGCTAGTAGTTAAAAGAATGAAATAGAAGCAATCAGTGGAGCAGAAGGATTCCAAGCAAGCCAAAAAGAAAGCTAAGGACAAAGTCCTGTAGAATATTCCCAGGTCAGGGGGAAAGAGGCAACCAACAAAGACAATAAGGATGAGAAACAAGAAAAGACTTCAGAAAGGCTGGAAGGAGAATTACAAGGGGGGAAAAAATAATCAACACAGTACAATGTGTAGAAAACTAAAGTAAGAAAAGGATTTAATAAATACTACATACTTCTCACAATCAGAATGTTATCAGAGATCTTTGCCAAAGGAATTTCACTGGCACAATGGAGATGAAATCCTTGTCACTGAAGACCAAGGGAAAAACCAAAGTGAGGAAGAGGGAGTGGAGGGAGTAAGTAACTCACCCTTTCAAGAAACTGAAAGGAAGGAAAGAAACTAATGGTTTCGTAATTTGAAGATATCAAGTTGAAAGCAGGCTGTTTGTATGTGTTTGAGGAGAAAAAGTTAAAAATGCTTATTGACAGGCTGTCCCTGGTGGTACAAAGGATTGGGATGCAGCACTGCAAGCAAGTGCAGCTGCTTCTGCCTCAGTGTGAGTTCGATTCCACCCAGAGGTGATCCACAAGGTCTGGCAGACCTCTCCTGACCTGCCCACTGCCTGTTTTGCCCCTTACTCTGTCTCTGGTGAGGCCTCTCACTGCTGTGGCACCTCTGGCTTGTACCCGAGTTCTGTATAAATAAATAAATACATTTTTTTAAAAAAATGCTTATTGACAAGAGAAAGTTACCAAAAAAGAAAGAGGAAACTTTTATGCAATGAGGGAGTTGATAGACCAGTATCTCAAAGAAGACAAAAGAGCAGATAGCTCAACAGATGATAAGAAATCAGAATTAGACAAAACAAGTCCCTGCACTTAAGCAACTTACATTCAAGTAGGAGACACCGACAGTAAACAAATACTTA